TCTCTAATTTGTATACCTTGGGATGCTGATAGCTTCTTTTAGCACAAGCCTGCAAGTAGCTTCCATTTTCGCAACGGCAATCTACACCATATTGAATCTTTTTTCCGGCTTCCTTGTGCTCGGGCCGGTAACTAAATCTAACTCTCTCTTTAGTCTTTAGCCCTGTTTGAGACTGCTTCTAGAAAAGCCAAAAGACTATGTAGTAAAACTTTAAGAGCTTTTAGTATGCGAAGCCCTCCCAACTGCTTTTTTTGCAACATAACTCTATTAAACAACTTACAGAAAAAGCGCTTATAATTTATAAGCAAAAGTTCTTTCTAAAGAAGCAGTGCCAAATAAACCCTTAATATGACGGTTTACTGTGAGCCTAGCGGACCATGTTCTATATATTTTATGCAGAAAATTCCCAAGTGGTGGATTTGGTTCTATTGGATTTGTCCTACATCATGGTCCCTAAATGCCCTCCTCAGTTCACAATATGGAGACATGAACAAAGAGATTTTGATTTTTGGGGAGCAGAAAACAGTTGCTTCCTTCCTTCAAGACTACTATGGCTTCCATCACGATCGTTTATTCCTCGTGGCGATTGTTCTCATTGCTTTCCCGATTGTTTTCGCTTCACTTTTCGCCTATTCTGTAAGGAAATTAAATTTCCAATGGTAGAAATGGTGGATCCTCTCATTGAAGATGTTTGTATTCGTCTACGTGCCCTTGTTTTTAATCTTAGCCATTCATGTAATAAATAAAGTTATCTTAGCCGTTCAATACTTGTCGAAACTATCCTATCTTCGACTGGAAAGTTAGTACAAATTTTGTAAATGGTGATTCAAATGGAATATATAGGGGGTTATGTGCTTTTGTGAGCTAAAAACTTCTTTGACTTTCTTCGATACGAGAGAAACTTGTGTACAGTTCCTAACTAGGTTAGCTATTTCAACGAGGGAGACTAGTTTGAGGCGAGTGAAACCAAAATATAAGAGTTTTATGCTTTTGTGAAAGCTTCTCTGTGAATAATCGGGTTTAGATGCCATTATTTATAGTGTGAGGTAAGGTGGGACCAAAAGACAACAATTAGTACCTGATTACGATACAAGTCTTCTCTTCTTACACAAGAAAGAGTAAACAATTCAGCATTTCGTTTCAACCAAAAAGCACCCTGTTTGCCTATCTTTACAAGTTTACGTGTAGAATAACCTCCAGGTCACGAATACATTCATCTCTCCTTTATCTCTCATCACGTGATAAGATCATATTAGTTAACGCACCATCATGTCGTTGTCCAAACCACTTTGGACATATTCTTACTACACACGCCGGCATCCAAGTAAAATTTATTATTATTCAACGTTACTGATATTGTTTATTACACTACCAATGCTACTCAAAAGTCAATATAACAAAACTTACATCTTTGATCAAATTACCCCTGCGTTTTGTTGAGCTGGACCCTTACATTTTGGGATAATTGCAGATCAATTGTCTGCCTCAAGTGCCAAAACATTCGAACAACAGCAGCACAAAATGTACCGAAAAGAGCGATTAATTTTCAAAAACAACGTGTTTACAGACCACCTTCTATGATTGTCCAGCAGCTGCTGCAGACAATATATACGTGAAGTTACATTCAAAACATTTCAGGCAATAACAAAAAGCAATTCCTCTGTTGAACACAGTTAAACACTCTTACAAATCGTCGTACAATTTTGCATGCTAGTTTAGAGATCGCATCAAGTTTGGAGAGAGACACTTATCAACTCTGTATGTACAATCATTTTCCATAAAGTTTCACCCGGGTTATCAGTCTATCAGATCAATCCATACAGTCCTTCACCAGAAACATAAAATTGGAGGAAGCAGCATTGCTAACACCCATCCGAGAATGGAAATGTTTGATTACCTGATCGATCGGCAATTTCACAATAAGAGTTTGCTGCTGCCTTAGAAGAACTGCGGGGAATGGAATTGCCCTGTGAGATTAGGGATTTTTGGAGCATACTGTTGCCTCCAAAGATCTCAACTAGACAACACCGCCAGACTCAGCTCCAAAAGCCTGATCACTTTGATTATCTTCAAAACTACTCTGATCACTTTGATTGCCTTCATCACTAATCTGATCACTCTGATTGTCTTCCACACTAATCTGATCACTCTGATTCTCTTCGGCACTAATCTGATCACTTTGATTTTCTTCAACACTAATCTGATCACTTTGATTACCATCAGTACCAATCTCCTGCTTCAAGTAGTAGATCTTGTCGTTCATACCTTCCTTACTATATGCCTCAACCATGACAGAGTATGTTGTGGAATCCGGTTGACATTGCTTCTCTTTCATCCGGTTGAAAACTCTTTCCATCTCCATTAAATCCTCTGCCTTTGCACATGCAGCTATCACCGCATTGTAAAATGTGGTATTCTCAGGTATCTCAAACTTTCCAGCCAACTGAACGCAGCTAACCACCTTATGGAAGAGGCCTGCATTGGCATACCCATTAATAAGGCAGCAGAATGTTTTGGTGTCTGCTTTCATGCCCTCAGCACGCATCTGTTCAAACGTGTATTCCATGTTTTTTGCATCTCCTACGTCCGCGAAAGCCTCTATCACATTGTTGTAAGTTGCGGTTGTCCATGGGAATTGAAGCTTGCGCATGTACTCCATCACAGTTGACATCTTATCATACAGCCTTTTCTTCCCGTAAGCACCAATCAGAATGTTCAAAGTGCGAGTTTCCGGCTCAATCCCAAAATCACGGAATTTCTCATACCATCTCTCCATCATATCTATCTGACCCTTGTTTCCAAACACACTAAGGACAACATTCATTGTCCAGACATCAGGCTTGCAACTTGTACCCTCCAGCATCCCGGACAACACTTTTTCCATCTGGTCATACTTCCCGGCCTTACCATATCCACTCAACACTATGTTTTGGGTGACTGTATTCGGAGCTATCAACCGCTCAGCCATTTCCTCATACAAGGACTCAACTAAATCAAACTTCAAATGATCAATGCAAACCTTTATCAAGGTACTGTAAGTAAAAACGTCAGGCTGGCATTGCGGGAGAGTCTTCATCAGGTTAAGAACAGAAAATGCCTCGTCAATCAGATTGTTCCGGCAATAAGCCGCGAGCAAGGCTGTGTAAAGGTCAAGAGTTGGTTCACAGCCCTCTTCAACCATTGTATCGAAAAGCTGGCGGGCACGATTGGGTTGGCCGCACCTTCCAAGCATACCAATGAGTTTCATGTAAGTCCCTTCTTTCGGTTGATAAAATGGTTGTTCCCTAAGCATGTCAAACACCTGAACGTAATAGTACCCAATTTCATCATACATTTTCCAAACAAAAACACCCAATTAATTATAATTCCACTAAAATCATTCAGCTAAAAAGATCACATTTTTCAAGAACATGGTTCAAGAAACTAAATTGGTAAGCATAAAAATACCATTTTTTTAAATTTTGCATCAATTTACATTCACCAAACTAAAAACACATAAGAAAAAAGATGAAAAATTTGTTAATTTTTGTTTAGATTAAGACAAAAACCTCAAGAGCTTGGAGCCACTGCTTCTTGTCAATGGCGTCTGACAGGGCCTCCGTGACGGTGTTGACCCAGGCCTTGGCATTGTTCTTCCGGTCCAGCTTCTTCTTCACATTTTTCAAAGGGGGTTTTCTATAAATAGCCGGAATCGACGTCTCCGAGACCCCCGGGAACTCCCCTTGCTTCCAGTGCTTCTTTCTGTTGTCGGAAGACGGATATGAAGCGGAACGAGCGGAGGTTTTTCTGTAAGTCGCCGGAGTCGACGTCTCCGAGACGCCCGGGAACTCACCTCGCTTCCAGTGCTTCTTTCTGGTGTCGGAAGACTCAGATGAAGTGGAACGACCAGGGGTTTTTCTGTGATTCGCCGGAGTCGACGTCTCCGAGACGCCCGGGAACTCACCTCGCTTCCAGTGCTTCTTTCTGGTGTCGGAAGACTCAGATGAAGTGGAACGACCAGGGGTTTTTCTGTAATTCGCCGGAGCCGACGTCTCCGAGACGCCTGGGTATTCACCTTTCTTCCAGTGCCTCTTTCTGGTGTCGGAAGACGGAGATGGAGTGGAGCGACGGCTTACAGCTGGGTTGGCGAATGCGCGGAGGAGCAGCTTAAAGTTGGGGTATTGGGATTTCTGGGAGGCGGCGGCGGTGGCGGTGGAGTATTTGTTGAAAGGAAGAGGATGAGGGAGGAGAGAGGAAGAGAAGGAGAGAGAGATTGAAGAAGCCATGGATGGCTTTGGCCTGCAAAATTGTTAGAGCAGTGACGGGGTAGTGAGTAGTGAGGTGGATTTTAGGAGGCAGGGCATGCAAATGACCTCTTTACCCTTTATTTTCTTATCCTCAAATTTTATTTTATTTTTTTGAATTTCAGAAAATAAAATTTGAATAAATTACACTTTTTCAGGTCTGATTCGGGGTAAGTAATTCAAATAAGATAATAATTACTGGTTGGAATCATGTGCATTGATACTTGTACTTATGTAAAGTCGGATATTATCCAAATTCAGTGAAACCTATTCATTTGAAAGAGTTTTATGTTTTTATGAGAAACGTGTAACGAATGTGAATGTGAATGCGTGATGAATGACGTGAGCACCTCCATTTAAGTTTTTCTCGAACTATTAATAAATTATTTTAATAAAATAATGATTTCATATGGAAGCATGAACAAATTCATCCAAATGATTAAACTAATAAAATTAGAAAATAATTCAACCTCAATTTGCACTAAACATGAAATAATGCTCAAACAATAATTCTCAATTCCCAAATTCTTCTATACTTAACCTTGTTTAGTGTGCTTATGCTTATATGAGCTCAAATAATGGAGGAGGGTATGGTAATAAGTTAGAATTAGAGTAGACCAAAGTTCGATTTCCTCCAATATAACCAACAAAAATGCTGAATTTTCTAAAATTAAAATTTAATTTATACAGTAAATGCACTAATAATCGAACACCGAATCACCTCGTGCCAAATGTTTATTTTGAAAAAAAAAAAAGAAATATCAAACAGAGAAATTATGTGTCATCCAGTTTGTAACACTGTTATACAAATACAAATACAATCAAACCTGGTGGACCAAAATCCATGACAGCCCATGTTTATTTTGGAAGCTTAGGTATACAAATACAGATACGATAGACGTTCCGACCATTGCAATGCGAAGAGTCTTGTTGGCTTGAGTGGCCCTAGATATACATATAAAAATCAGATAGAAAATATACTCCTATCCACGTGAAAAGAAATGGTCTATGTATAACCAGAGTCACTATAAATTAATACACGTAAACTATAACCTTAGCTTGAACCAAACTTCAAGTGTTCCCACCGGAATGGCTCCAACACGAAAACAACTTCCGGATTGCTTTTAAAGAGCAAGGCCACGCAAACGCAGACAGCAGCGACAGCCACCAATGACAGCATTGCCGGCCTGTATACAAGTGACCGTGTGGTGCTATAAGCTGGTTTCTGTTCACATAACCTGCAGTGTCGTAAGATTGCTTTTATATCATTCCTTTCAGTTTCCAAGCTGGCTACTCTTGATGATTTATGCGCATCCGATTGCTTCTGCTTTCCATTTCTGTCTAACGTGAGGCCAGGGATGTCAAGCACCACATGCCCGCTTTCCAGTGTATTGCTGATTTTCCGCTGGACTATATGGACATAGGAGTAGCGGCTTCGAAGGCATGCATAATCATATGGTGTCAATCCTGTGCTGTCTCGAGTGTTTTTCCATGCTTTAATTCCCACCTAAAGAAAAAAACGCCCATATCAACTTGATGAATGGATTATCTGACACTAAAGAAATTTCATGACAGCAGTCCTAAACACATGCTTGAAAGTTGAAACTAGAACGATGAAAAGAATCATAATTCATTTATCGTCAAAAATTTTAACAGCAGTCCTATTTGATTTCAAGTTGAATGTAGAATTTGGGTGCCGCTTTCAGCTGTGAAAGAGTTAGCATGCATTTAGATGTGGGGTGCTGCTTTCTTTACCAATTTGAATGGCGCATTTAACTTTTCTACGGTGATTTATGTTTCATATGTTTCGCAAGCCAAAGAAAATACAAGACTGCATAATTTGTCTAGGATTGGTTAATTGAGAATTTGAAATACAACTCAATAACTGGAATCAGTGTATTTTGTTTAGGCAGAAGACAGTGGAAAAGCTAAAGAGAGAGCTCAAAGTCAAAGAAGACATGATTACAGATCTAAAATCCGTGAGCAACCTGACATGCTGGAAATTAGAATGAGTTAAAATCATCAAAACACGTGTGTGAAACAGTATGAGAACAGACACAGGTCAACTGTAGGCGCAAGAGTTCAAATGGGTATGGAGATGGGATGGAGGTTGTAGCCAGCGCAAAGTGATTTCTACATAGAATTAGAAGAAAAATATTATGTTGCAATTCAAAAAACGGAGATATTACCTTTCCAGGATCATCAGTTAAGGCATCCAATACTTGCTCACAGCCATCAGTACTGGCGGCAATATGAAGAGGAGTCAACCCCATGGGCCCAACAACATCAGGTTTAAACAAGAAACTGTTGCCGTCCCTGTCAACTTGTTCCTTCTGCTCAGATCCTGTTAAACCTGGGACAAATCTTAACAAGAATTCCACCATACGTCTGCTATTGATTCGCACAGCTCTGTGGAGGAGGCCCATATCCAGTAGTGCAGACTCAAGGGAAGGATGCTCTGCAGCGTCGACAGTACCATCAAACAGAATGCCCAAGAGTTTCTTCACCACAGCACACCAATCATGGTCAATGGAGAACTCCATGAGCAATCTGAACCGTCTAAAGGGAAATGTATCTAGATTGGGATCCAATTGACCCAGTCTAAACTTAACGCGACTTCTATGTAGGAGCCAACCCAATTCATGTATAAAGTCCAAGGCTTGGTTCTTAGCTTCCACTTTTTCAGGTCCAGATTGGATATCATCATCAGTCTCGGACACCTCAATCACATCTTCCAGCATACAAATCTCAGAGCATACTTCCTGCTCTGCAACTATAAATGGAAAGAAGCTACTGCTGAGACCATGATCTTCAACCTGACATAAATTTGACCAATAAAATGAGAACCGTGGATTTCAGTTAAGGCGCTGTCTAGAAACAAATCTATACTCAGTATTCATAAGAAGATTTATAAACAAATTCCGGACTTATAAAATACGGCTCGTTCAAAATGCACATTACAAGAGGAGGAAGGGGGAAAGGGACAATTAGGAATATGACAGCACCTCAATGAATCCTCGCCCAGTAACATTTGGTATAGAGCAGGAGAATTTAAGGCATTGTTGTTCGTCATCCTCAACAGTGCTATCCGCATCATCCAACAAGTCATAACAAGTTTCTTGAGCCAGATACTTCCCTTCTAGAGCACAGAGTAACCTGTCAAGACTCAAGATCTAGAATTTAGTATTTCTTCTGTTATCCTATAAAACTAGAGAGGAATATTGAAAACAAAGTAATGACGCATGAATGAAAGATGAAAGAACCTTGTGGTGGAACTAGAAAGGTTAAAGCCTTTTACTATAAATTCAGCTCTCTCAGATAAGGAGATCGCAATTGGTTTGATGCATGATATCCTGCAACTTTTATTGCTTTTAAGAGGCAAGGGTGTGTCTAACACAACTTCACCTGCAGGATGGACATAACTAATCAAAATGCTTCTCTCATATAAGGTTAATGTTTTTGGTCAATCCTCATTATGTACTAGAAATAACAAAACAAAGCATGACCAAAATCAATAAAGCATAATGGAAAACTAAAACAGCAAGATTCTTCTATAGACCCTAAATACACAAATGTGTACGCACACACGAAATGAGAGGGGGAGAGAGAGAGAGAGAGAGAGAGAGAGAGAGAGAGAGGCAAACCATTGTATGTAAATGCTACATAATCTTGCACCCTTGTATACACCCATCCTGTTCTCCAAAAAGGATCATCCGCAGCATCAAGAAGTGTTTTCAAACTGGATCCCAGATGACAACAGAACTGTAAGCAAAAATAATTATAAAAAAAAAGGTCGTACCCAGTGCACAAGGCTCCCGCTTTAATCAGGGTCTGGGAGAGGTGAATTGTCAAAATTAAGGACTTGAAGAAAAAGTCTTCCTCATACAAGGATCTGCCATCCACAGTCGAGAATACCTCCTCCCACGTGGATTTTTCTAGACGAAGGTAAATTGTCAAAATGATACAGCCCGGCCTTATGTAGCTTTCAATGTTGGTAGGGCTGTGAGATAACCAGTCGAGGATCTGGATATTCAAATAATTTATAAAAATCATGGAGTCCGTGGAATGAAACACCAAAATACTTTGAAAAGTACTTTGAAAACTAGAAAAATCAAAGGAAATATAGTACCTGTGATCGCAGAGCAAGTGGAAGTTCATTAGGGTCTTTTCCAAATAGTTTAAAAATAATTCGGTCTGTGTGACTCTGATATGTGGCAGAAAAAGAGCAGTCAAGAAACGTAAAATTGCAGATACATTCTACATACTGGCCTTTTACATAAATAATGCATGTTCCATTAGGACTGCAGAAACCACCAGGTAACTTTAACCTCAATTCTATTAACAGCATCAAGAAGACGTATACACAACAAGTATGTTTGTGTGTGTGGTTGCGCTTGTAAACTGCCATATTGGTTTGAAGGAAGAGATAACTGATCTCAACTTTAAGTCACAATTGAAGCATTTCTTACATATATCCCATAACCAAGCAGCGAGCGCACTTAACCTCGCCATTATTTTGACAATCCATGGAAAGATACACAGACACGTTCAGAACACAATACATGACTGCCTAACTACTCTCAAGGATAGAACAAAGGTATTCTACTATCCAAACAAAAGACAAGTTATACGCCGTATAATGATTAATGACAATTGATATATTAATCCCTGGTCTCATGGAAAAAAAGATTAAAAAAAAGACGAATTACAGTGGGCTGAGCATCATCCACGACAAAGGCATTTTTAAGCATTATATTACCAAGCAATTATGGAATAGATGCAATTACAAGGATATACCTGAGCTTCTCCACTAGAACTTGACGGTGACTGAGTAGAAGTTAAGTCTGAATTCCCACTTGTCTGAGGTGGGCTTGATTTATGAGAATCACGCTGCATCCATGAAGGAAAACCAAGAGATGCAGTGCCTGGACTTGCAGGAACATGAGAATTCCCTAGGTTCTCTACATAGTCCTGTGAATCATCATATGTACTATTTAAATCAATCATTTAACTGGAACCTTCTACTTGTAGCTTCCGGTGTAACTGATTTGGATTCAGAACTGTCTCTTGATGCAGGTAGTATCGAACAGTGTCCTTTAGACCTTAAAGGGTCCTCAGTATTAACACCAGCATTCATATCTAGAACCCTTCGTGCAGTCTGGACAGATGTCCCACTGTTAAATAAACCTTGAGATCCCTGCAGCAATGTAGATATGTTTCTTCCATCAGCCGTACCAGCAACATTGGCTAAGCTCCTCAACAAATGAGATATGACATCCTGATCCTTTGTTTGATCAGAACTACTAGCTGCAATTTATAAATGGCATAATATGCGGATTCAAATAAATCTGAGATACAATGTTTCACTAAGACAGAAGTGTACAATGAATAAGGCAAGTACTTACAGTGCATATTTGAAAGTATTCTCAGCAAGCTAATCAATAGATAACCGCTTCCGCCTTCATTGTTTAAAGAGCCTCCATTAACTGCAGTATCAGGATGTGTTTTTCTTCTCCTCCTATTATGGCCAGCCAAACGCCTACGGCAACTTCTCTTCCCTTCATCAAACTCTTGAAGAGCATGAAACCTGTCCACGAGTGTTAACCCTGTTACATTTAATTCAACAAAAAAAACCTTCTGCAGAACTCAACCATACCGTAAGAAGATTGATGAACAGCCATGCACAACAAACGCATGACAACAAAATTTACACAACCAAACTCTGTATTTCAAGTTAATTCAAGAAAATCGGGGAAATGTTTCAACCAAACAATAAATAACAATAGGATGGAACCAACCTGCTACACTGTTGACAGAACCGCTGCATAACACTTCCAACCAGCGCTTTAGTTGCCTTAGAATGCATAGCACAGACCTTATGCCTCCGGTGATAATCCTTGGCATTGCTAAGATCAGCCTTACAGTCCTCCACCTGACAAACTGCACGGTTTGAAGTAGTCCCAATTGTCTTTGTTTTCTTCCCGGTTTGTACTTCTTCTTCCATAATGGGGTAAGTTTGCCCGCCAAGTTTAAGATTCAGAGACGCAGCTTCATCATTCAACTCTCGGTTTTCCACAAAAAAATCCCTTCTCCGTTTCTCCAATTCTCTTTGATCTTTCTCATTCCCCGGACTGATATTATCCGAACCAGAAGAAGAACTGTTGGACAAACCAGCATCCGACGGAGTTTCTGGCCTGGCCGGAAACAACTGCCTACTCCTACCATCAGATGGTGTAGAATTTAATGGACTAGCAGTAAAAAGATCACCATCCCATTTAAAATCATTCAAATCCCATTCCAAACTCTTTTTCCCAACCCCCTTCAAATTCGGCACCATCACACCACGAAAATTACAAGCCTTTCCTCCGAATTCAGACTCCATAGATCAAGATACAAAAAACCCAGAGATGTTACAATGCCCCCTAGTCAAACTCCACCAGATACAAACACCCAATTGAACAATAACAACAACTACAGCTCAGAGATAAAACTATAAATTTCACCCCAAAACAAAAAGTCAATAACACCACAGCCCCAGAAATTTCTGGAAATTGTTCTTTCCAAGAACCCCAGAAAACCAAGAACAGCACACCAGCATAAAAATGGAGCTAAACTACAGGCTACAGCTGCCCAGAACCCAAAATCCACCAATTACCCAGTTTTTCTCTCAACAAGTCAGTACAAAATACCGTATTTGCAAGCCCACAATTACATCCTAGTCAATGCTTTCAACTCCATGGAAAGAAACTTGAGCTGAAAGAACTGAAAGACCCAATCTTTTTTTGTGGAAATAAAGAGGAGAGCGAGAGAGTAAAGAGAGAGAAACTTGCCGGCAGGTTGGTGAATTGTTGGGAGATGAGCTGAGAACTGAGAGCTGACGAAGAAGTGGCTGAGATCGCAGTTGAGGCAGAGAGAATATAGGCCCCGAGACAAAGCTAATCAGCACATGAAAATTAGGAAAAGGTTAGGAAAAGGGTTCTCTTACTGTGTAAATTCGGTTTCAGTGGGGAGAGTGAGAGGAGAGAGGTGGTGGCCTCAAATGACGCGTCTCCTTTTGATTTCGATTAGAAATTAACAGCGTTACAAGTTACGAGGTGTATCATTTTAATATTTAAACTAATGATATTTTATTTTATTATAAGTGATATATTTCAAGTTTAATTCTCGTCATATTATTACTAATTATTGTGAGATTTAACCTAAACTTAATATTAACAAATCTACGTAATATAATTTAAATGAACCAGTAATTTTACGTGAACGTGATCTTAGTACACCGGAAAATTGTTCCATTTCGAGATCAAGATTTAATGCTTGAATTATTGGCAATTAAACCAAAGAAAAAAGGTTCAAAACGACAAAATAATTGAAAAAGATTAAACAAGGTAATAATTGTGTACACTATGTAAGGACCATGAATATGACTTGTTGAAGTGGAAAACAATTTCATGTCAAAATATGAGTCAACGTGTCTCTGTGACTGGAGTCCTTTTCCTATTATTTTATTAGCCTGTAAAATCCATTTTTCTGCTTTTTTTTTTGCTAGTTAATATTAGACTCGGATTGGATTTGACCAAATTAAAAATATTTAGAGAAAAACAACTGTTTGATCTAATTTTGGTCCAATTTTATTCATAACGTTTGAGTTGAATAACATGAAAAGTTATCTCACTAAAGAACGAGATTCATGCATTTGACCAAATTAAAAATATTTGGAGAAAAACAACTGTTTGATCTAATTTTGGCCCAATTTTATTCATAACATTTGAGTTGAATAACCTGAAAAGTTGACTCACGAAAGAACGAGATTCATGTATCTAAGTAAGCACAAAGCTCCAACCTTTGTGAGACAGCCTTATCCCCTCATGAAGGAACGTGATTCTATGTATTTGGTCACCATCCAGTCTTACGTAAATACAACTCTCAATGCATAAAATTTAGCAAGAGTAGTCTAACCTACTTATTAGTCAGGCTGCCCTACTAAATATTGTCTTCTGTTTAAGAAAGCTGACTTAAAAGCGAAAGAAATTATTAGTCAGGCCGCCCTACTAAATATTGTCTTCTGTTTAAGAAAGCTGACTTAAAAGCGAAAGAATTTTCAAGTCCGAATCTTCCGCCTCATCGAATACAATGTTTGTATGTGTTTTTGGAAGTAATGCAGCAATCTATTGCCTCAACAATTGGTCAATAGTACTATTTACGTCAATCTTTCCCTATACACGCTTTATATGAACTATCATTAATACATACAGTGCAACACCTCTCGTGGAAATCTTAACGGATACGAAAACTGGTACATTATGTTCCCTATAGAGTTATCGGTTTATACATATGATCAACAGAAACAGCCTAAAGCCAGAGTAACTAAAATTTGAGTTATCCGTTTATACATATGATTAACACAAACGGCCTAAAGCCAGAGTAACTAAAATTTGAGACGCGTAAACTGCCTTAGCTCGGTCCATACTCCAAGAGTTCCCACCTGAAGGGCTGGAAGACATAAAGGACTTCAGGCGAGCTTTTGAAGAGCAAGGCCACGCAAACACAGACAGCAGCAATGGCTACCATTGACAGCATTGCCGGCCTGTACACAAACGACCTTGTGTTTCCATATGCTAGTTTCATTTCACATTGCTTGCAATGTGCCTGCATTGCTTTCATATCGATCCTTTCGGTCTCCAAGATGGAGACTTTTGAGGACTTATGCCCATCTAATTGTTTCTGCTTGCTGCTGCTGTCTAAGATAACGCCAGGGATATCAAGCACCACGTGCCCGCTTTCATGTTTCTTGTTGATTTTCCGCTGGACAATTTGGACATAGGTGTAGCGGCCTCGCAGGCATGCATAATCATTTGGTGTCAATCCTGTACTGTCTCGAGCATTTTTCCACGCTTCAATTCCCACCTAAAGAAGCAAAGATATCAACATTTGTATGCTTGAAAATACAACGATTTGAAATATCAACATTCATGTGAGACACAGAATGAGCTGACATGAGTCATTTGTATGAGCAAACGGTCAAACACGTACGGAGAAAAATGGATAATGATGCAGACCTGTTCTGATTTTTACATCCAATTAGAAAGAAAACTGTCAAAGAAGACAATGAGAAATTACCTTTCCAGGATCATCAGTTAAGGCATCCAATATATTCTCACATCCATCAGTACTGGCTGCAACATGAAGAGGAGTCAATCCCATGGGCCCAACTGCATCGGGTTTAAATAAGAAGTTGCTGCCGTCCCCGTCAACTTGTTGCCACCCTTTGTCTAGGACAAATCTTAACAAGAGTTCCACCATAGGCCTGCACTTTCTTTGCACGGCTCCGTGGAGGAGGCTCATATCCAATAACGCAAGCTCAATAGAAGGATGTTCTCCAGTGTCAACGGTACCCTCAAGCAGAATGCCCAGGAGTTTCTTCACTACAGCACACCAATCACGGTCCATGGAAAACTCCATAAGCAACCTGAACCGTCTAAAAGAAAATAGTTCTAAGTTGGGATCCCCGTGACCAAGTCTAAATTTAGTGTGACATCTGTGAAGGAGCCAACCCAATTCATGTACAAAGTCCAACGCTTGGTTCTTGGCTTCCAACTTTTCAGGTTCTGTCTGGATGTTATCTGCAGTCTCAGCCACCTCAATCGCACCCTCCAGGGTACAAATCTCTGAACATACTTCCTGCTCGGCAACTATAAATGGAAAGAAGCAGCCGCTGAGACCATGGTCTTCAACCTGAAATAAAAATAAATAAATAAGTAATGATAAGCACACTTCAAAGGAAATATAAAACATATATTAAGAATGGAACAGCACCTCAATGAGTCCTCGGCCAGTAACATTGGGTATAGAGCAGGAGAATCTGAGGCACTGTAGCTGATCATTCGCAAAGGTTGTATCAGCACCATCCATCAAGTCATAACAAGTTTCTTGGACTAGATACTTCCCTTCCAGAGCACAGAGCAACCTGTCACAAGCTAGGACTTAGTACTTTCCTCCTTCCCAGTTATCCTGATAGTTACTAATTCAGAAATAACATATGACACTGGAGTGGTCTACATAATGAAGCTTGAATGAAAGATAAGGATACCTTGTGGTGGCACGAGAAAGATTAAACCCCTTTACTACAAATTCAGCTCTTTCGGATAAAGAAACTGCAATTGGTTTGATGCATGATATCTTGCAATTTTTATGGCTTTTCAGAGGTAAGGGTGTGTCTAAGACAACTTGACCTGCAGTACAGACATAACTATTTAAAATGTCTTTTCTTTCATAACACAACTATTGGTAAATCACTAAATGAGCTAGAAAATATATGAATGAATAATTAAGAGAGAGAGAGAGAGAGAGAGAGAGAGAGAGAGAGAGAGAGAGAGAGAGAGAGAGAGAACAAACCATTGTACGTAAATGCTACAGAATGTTGCACCCTAGTATACACCCATCCTGTTGTCCAAAAAGGATCATTGGCAGCATGTAAAAGTTGTTTTATAATGGATCCCAGATTACAGCAGAGCTGCAGGCAAACATAACAATTAAGGACAAGAAAAGAGATCTCCCTGATACAAGGTCAGCAATCAACATTTTGGCATCAGCACAGAAACATACCTCCTCCCACGTGGATTTTTCTAGACGGAGGTAAACTGTCAAAATGATACATCCCGGCCTTATGTAGCTTTCAATGTCAGTAGGACTGTGGGACAACCAGTTGAGAATCTGGATATTCAAAATATTTCATAAAATTGTTGTATGTGCAAGGAAACACAAGTTACATTGTGAAGAATTAAATCAAGGCACCAAATATTACCTGTGCTCGTAGAACAAATGGAAGATCATTTGGATCTTTTCCAAAGAGTTTAAAAACAATACGGTCTGTGCGACTCTGAAACACGGCAGAAAAAGAGTGGTTAAGAGACGTAACAGTGCAGTAACATTTTACACACTGGCCTTCATAATAAAAAATATTTAAAAAATACTCAACTCTAACTGATATAGCCTGCAACCTCCTGTAGTTTAACTACAACTCTATAAACCTTATCAAGCAGAAGCATACGCACACATTTATACATACAAAGCACTATACAAAAGAAGAGAATCCATCTTGACTCTTACGTCACAACAGAAGTATTTATTAGGTATGCCGAGTACTTCATGTTTTTTCAATCAATTGGCTAGACAAACGGACAAGTCGAATGCAAAGCATTGTCACCTAAATGCCAAATTAAAGTGAGAACAAAGCTATTCTTTTATCCAACAGAAAAGGACAGGTTATGGCATATACAAGCATTAATATACCAAGCAATAACGAGGAACGAGATGCAAGTACAACAAGAATATACCTGAGCATCTCCACTAGAACTTGATGAAGTTGAGCATGAAGTCCCACTTGTCTGAGGTGGGCTAGACTTTTGCGAATCCTGACGCATCCAAAAGGGAAAACCATGAGCCACTGTCCCTGAATTTACAGGGGCATGCGAATTCCCTAGGTTGTCCAAATAGTCCTGGGAATCGTCATATGTATTATTTAAATCAATGCCATTTAACTGCATCCTCCCCATTGTAGCTTCTGGTGCAACTGATGTGGATGGAACACTGTCTCTTGAAGGAAATGGCTTCGTGGCATTTAGACCTGAAACAACTTGTAGACCTCCATGATCTGCATCAACTGAAGATATTCTCCTGAAATCTGATGCAGGTACCGTAGAACACTGTCGTATAGGTCTTGAAGGGTCCTCACCATTAATATAATCATCCATTTTAGAGGCTGAAACAGAAGGCTTACTTGGTTCACAGCCGTTGGAAACTGTATCTGGGACCTTTTGTGCAGTCTGAATTGATGCCCCGCCATTTATTAAACCTTGAGATGCCGTAAGCAATGCAGACATGTTTCTTCCATCAACTGTACCAGAAAGATTGGCTAGATTCTTCAAAAGATGAGATAGCAAATCCTGATCCTTTGTTTGATCTGAACTATTAGCTGCATTTTAGGCATCAAAAGTGGAGTTGAGTAAGACACTTATGAGAAGAAAAACAAACACAAACATAATCAAATAAATATTATAATAACATGATCACTGAGACATAATTTCCTAAATAACAATTCCTAATTAGAATTCCCTTTAATAGGCCCTTCCTTCATGCATCCTAGAATGTGAAATATGGACAGTCCAACAATCAGAGAAAGAAAGTGCAAAAAACAAGGGTTCAAGGGATGAAATTCAAGCACACAAGGTGTAATCTGGATTATAAAAATTGAAATATTTTTCGACATGAAGGTCTGCACAAAATTCTAACTTTCTATCAAATCAACCTCTGAAAAACTGAAAACTTTTCATGCGTAAGCATCAATATTCAAATTTTCATCAAATTAAATTCAGAGAAACTAGCACTTTGTCATTTATACACAAAAATAGAGCACCTTAAGCAGTTAAGGACTCATCAAGTAATATGTTGTATGTTTACAAATAAAAATTTATGAGTGGAGTTATTAAATGTTAATTGACATAATCATTTTGCTACAAGCCTCAATCAAATAATGACAAAACCTAAGAGCAAAAGACCACAAGAACTTTGACATCAGTCTATGGCAATCAACACACAATCCGGTAACCACTTAACATACACTTAGCATATCAATTTAATGTCAGGCAAAGCAGCCAAAAATTGAATGTGCAATAACACAAAGATTTACAGTGCATGTTGGAGAGTATTCTCAGCAAACTAATCAATAGATAACTGCTTCCTCTTTCATCATTCAATGAGCCTCCATTAACTACAGTATCAGGATGTGTTTTTCTTCTCCTCCTATTGTGGCCTGCCAAACGTCTACGACAACTTCTCTTTCCTTCATCAAACTCTTGAAGGCCATGAAACCTGCCCATAAGTATAACCACATTCCAAATTCAACAAAAAAGTTCTTCAAAATTCGACTATACCAAACACAGTGATGAACAACTATGGACCCAAATCATGAGAGCAACAAATAATTTTTTTAAAACTTACAAATCAAACTCTGTATTTCATCTTCTAGAAACAATGTCTATAAGAAAGCACCGAATAAACGACGTAGAACTTAACTGAAGAAAATTTGAAATATTTCTCACCATACAAGGACAACCATAGAATTGAACTAACCTGCTACACTGCTGACAGAACCGCTGCAAAACATTTCCCACCACCGCTTTAGTTGCCTTAGAATGCATATCACAGACCTTATGTCGTCGGTGGTAATCCTTGGCATTGCTAAGATCAGCCTTACAGTCCTCCACCTGACAAACTGCTCGGTTTAAAGTAGTCCCAACTATCTTCGTCTTCTTCCCATGTTGTACCTCTCCTTCCATGATTGGGTAAGCTTGCCCGCCAAGCTTGAGATTAAGAGACCCAACTTCATCAGTTAGCCCTTCATTTTCTACAAAACTAGCCCTTCTTCTTTTCTCCAGCTCTCTTTTACCTTTCTCATTCCCTGGACAGATACCGTCCGAACCAGAAGAAGAACTGTTGGACAAACCAGCAGTGGAGGGAGTTTCCGGCAGCCCAAGCGGAAACAACTGCCTGCTCCTACAATCAGATGGTACAGCATTCAAAGGACTAGCGGTAAAAAGATCACCATCCCATTTCCAATCATTCAAATCCCATTCCAAACTCTTTTTCCCAGCCCCCTTCAAATCCGGCACCATCGTACCATAGAAATTCCGAGCTCTGCCTCCAAAAGCCTCCATAAATCCAAATTCCACAAAAACTCCAGAATTTTATAACGCCAATAGTCCAATTCCACGAGATATAAATCCCCAATTCAACGAATTAAAACAAACCCAGATATGAAACCTTCGATTTCACCCAGAAATCAATAAGTTTACACTACAAGACCATATCTTTCTGGCAATTATTCTCTATAGGTTCCCCAGAAATCCAAAAGCAGTACACTGTAGACCACGTATGCACTGGGCTAAAACAACAGCTGCCCATCTGCCCATCTGCCCAAAATCCACAAATTACCCACTTATGCCCTCAAAATCCGCACAAAATCAACATACTCAAAACCCATCAATTCCATCACAGCAAAGTTTCCAACTTTACAAACAAAAAACAGCTTAAAATTTCAGCAGAAATAAATACCAAAGCAAAGAGAGAAACTTGCCGGTGACAGCTGAGCCGGTGAATTCTCGCAAGAGCGGCGGAGGACGGCTGAGATCCCCGGAGGAGGAGTGAATATAGGCAAACCAAAGCAGCACATAAAAATGAGGAAAACGTTAGGAATAGGCCCTCTCTCTGTGTATAAATGCGGTTTCAGCGGGGAGAGAGAGAGCTTTTTGGCATTTATTTATTGATAAAATTATATGACGCAGTGGGGGCAAAGGAATCTACGCCTACACAACCGCGTGTACGTCCGTAAAAAATACCAACAGAGAGCTCTCGTGCTGTGTTTCTCTCTGTATAGAGAGAGAAAGTATACGAGAGAGTGTGTAGAGAGAGAAAGTAGAGAGACACAGTGCTCTGTACTGCTGTGGCCAATGGAAGTTGAAGAGCTGATTGGTAATTCAGAAACGTTCTTCTTCTTTTCTTTTTTTTTTAACTTTAATTTTTATTGATCGAGCAAAAAAAAAAGGGCGTTTCCGGCGGAAGACGAGCGGAAGTGAGTGACCGGAGTTTAATAAGCTACGGCGGCGTGCAAGCGCGACTGACAGTGACTCCAGCTGCTGACAGTTGTCCGGGATTTTACCGCGACTTTTTCAAAATTAATAAAAATAAATAACAGCCTTCCCCAAACAAACCGTTTTTTTAATTTTGTTTAAGATTAAACACGTAGAAAAAATAATTGATTCAACTGACTACCAACATTAATGGACAGAAATGGTCTTTTAAGCTAAAAACCAATCCAACCCGCCGACACCTATGAAGACTGAATCATTTTAAATCAAAATTTCAAAAACAATTTTCATACTAGAACCAGCAAGTTCTTCGTCTCGTAATATCTCTGACATCACACACTACTTATGATAGTTTAATATTGGAAAAATCTTGCATTTTAACCGTAATGCAATACACGGAAAATTAAAAATCATATTCATTAGGGTACTAGTTGACCTTATTATCATCTTTCTTTTGAGTTTCGATCACAATGAAGTGTGAGAGATGAAAACGTAAAATACTTGCTTTGTTAAATCCTAACATGTAAAAGTTTTACATGATGTATGCAAACAATACCACGTTATGCTCCAACAAGATGTACTTGAATTTTCGATAAAAATTTGTAGCGCTTTCAATAAAAATGTGTCTTACAAAAATGTCCCTTGACGGATCTGTATTCTAGCTATCTTGCAACTAATTTACCTCAAGTTACTTTAGGAGTGATGATGTGAACGATACTAGCTACTAGCTACTTGGTTAGGTCAACAACATAATATTAGGTTTCATAACTTATTCGTAGGACAACTTAAGATGATAAGAACACATCGTAGCTTAGTGTTTTTGGTTTCGTACAGTGGGGTTGTTTCTTTCTTCCTTGTAGCTATCATTACTAACTATATATCACATTCTTTTAAAAATTACCGCCTAGCTTCGCTTAAGCCTGCCTAGGCGCTAAGCAGGTAGTCATCGCTTTGATTGATCACTAGACGTTTGAAAACTAAGAAAGAGCGTCTAGATCTGCGTAGGCGCTCGTCTAGATCGTAACTCTCATTTAGATAGAAAATAGATAACTTTCATTTTACATTTTATTTTTTCAATAAATTGTAAAAAACTTGTTAAATATTGAGATGAACACTCATTATATGTTTATTCCCCATGTTTTCAATTCTAATACTTTATAATTTATATATAGTTCCATTTTCTAATTAATGTATCTCAATACAGTTATATTTTAAAAAAAATATAAGTAGATATTTATCTATATATTATATAAAAAATTAATTAAAAATAAAAAATTACCTAGGCCCCCCTAAGCGACAGGCCTCTACCCGCTACTAGACTAGTGACTTTTAAAAACTTCTATATATTAGTTTACTAAATTGACCTCGACTTTGGGAGAATAACAGTGCATTTGGCCAAATCATACTCTCACGATCGACAAAAAGGGTGGAAAGCCACCGTCTAGTGGACCATGTTAATTTAGTATTATAGCGAGTACTCTTCTGTTGCCTTTGGCGACAACCATGTGATAGGAACCCATCCACTGCATCCAAGGTACGAGTTCGAGAGGTTTCTTGGTTTTTGTGACTTATATAGACACCTCAAATTCTGAATAAAACTAAAGACCTTATCTTTTGATGTCTAGAGAGTTGCTTTGCCCACAAACACACGTTACGATTGTATGTCAATTATACATCCGCAATCACAATGAAACTCGCAGCAACAACTAACAATCGATCGTCCGCCTTCGTCTAGTATAAGTTGAGATCGTAAAACTTGTTAGAATGTAAAGCACAATTTGTGAAATTGTTGACCTTAAAAACTATCAAGTTTACTTACACGTAGACTGAATAACAAAAAGCTAACTACGTCATTATGATGAATGCGGTCGTGCTAACTTGCCATCGAACTCGGTCGGTTAGTAGAATGAATGTGGTGGTGATGTCAAAAAGGTTGTTAGTCACTGTGAAGTTCATGATCTTTTGCACCAGGTTCGGCCGCCTCGACTATATTTGTGAAAATATAAGTGCTCTGATCAGTTCGGAGTTAAACTGTAAGGATACTCGTACTCGAAAGAGATAAATGTCTTGATGGTAAATGTTGTTCAACCGTCAGAATACCGAACTCTAAAATGTACCAGAAGTAACCAAGCATAAAACACTTAATTTGGTTGGAAAGCTAGTAAAGTGACCTCGTTCAATTAAAGAATCAAGGACTCCTCGTCAGCTGAGACTTGGATAGATAATCAATCGAGCTTTAAGTAGTTAGGAAAGTGGAGAGTTAGTGATTTCTCAAAATGTGAGTTAGTTAGTTCTCTGAGTGTGAGAAGTGTTCGCCTAGAGCGAGATTTGTGCAAGGCATATTTGTATGTTAAGTTGAAGGTTGCCTTCTCATTACACGGTTTTATGTATTTATAGGACTAATACGCTTGAACGTGTTGTAAAGTCCATACCGTGGCTACCAAAGGCCTTTTGATGGCCATCTTTATCTTAATGAACACTGAGCATTCTATTAGGAAATACTATCAAATTGGCCAAAAAGAATAAATTATCAAATTGGCCAAAGGGATAATATCACAAATGGATGGTACCTTCTTTTATCTTTTCTTTACTCAAGCCAAGTTGGAAAATCCTTGCCATCACTTGAGTAAGTCTTTATCAACAAATGGATCTCCAACAAACAACCAGCAATGGATAATGCCTGGTTTTCTCTATTGAATTCGAATCAGCAATAGTAATATTTAAGAAAAATATTAAAATTCAACAGCCTCAATTAAACAGATCAATGGTGTACAGTAAGATCCAAACAGAAACACATTACGTTTATGATTTAGCTAATTTGTATTTTGAAACAAACAAAGCTTATATATAAACTGAGAGAATCAATTGACAGAAAAGACCATTAGGTGAGATAAGACTACGTACTACTTCTATTGGATAAGAATAAAGAGGCTTTTGTAACAAGAAGGACAAGGTGCCCTCCTAGTTGTGGTGCCCTTCCATGCCCTCCTATTTTGTGCGGTCACGGTTAAGCCACGTTAATATTTTATATTTTTATTGTTTTTTGTCTTATTATCTCATTAAAAAATTAATATAAAATGTTGACGTGGCTTAACCGTGACCGCACAAAATAGGAGGGCATAGAAGGGCACCACAACTAGGAGGGCAGACAATCCTTGTCCGTAACAAGAATGGCACATTACATTCGGTATTTGGGAAAAAATGCAACAAGAATGTGACAATGTCAAACCCGATTCTTTTGGTTTTCTCGACCCGATTTACCGGTTAAAATGTCCACTCCTAGGTAGTGAGTTAACAACACCACAAACTTCTGGCTTTAGTTAACTCCAAAGAAAATTATGAAAAATGTTTGGGTTTTACTATAAAATTTATAAAATTAATTGATAATATGGGTATTAGCGTATCTTATTTGTCAATGCAAGTTTCCTTCTTTTCGATGTAGGATTAATACTCCAACACGTCTCATCACGTGACGAATTTTTAAGCTTAGCACATGGACAAAATAAAATGAGTGATGTGAAGCACGTGTAGCCGTTGGGCTTCACACATGAAACACCCTACTTTGATATCATGAATAAAGCTGAGGTTTCAACATAAAATTAATTCGCTATATAGTAGTAGCCCAACTTACAAAGACCTTATGTCTATTCATATCTAGAGGGTTGCTTTACATATCTTCATACAAACACACGTGCATGAACGACTGTCCATCAATTATACATCCGCACCAAATAAAGTGAATGCCTCAACAACTGAGAATCATCTACATTCCAATTAATCTATCGTACATTGAAACCTTCAATTTTGTCAACATAATTATTCTACCTTATTGTAAAACATACATTTGTGAAAAAGATTATGTTTATAATTTAACCTAATTTCTATTTAGGACCAAACACCGGCCACTTATCAATCGAGAGAATCAATTGAAACAAAAAGGTCAGTAAGTGCGATAAGACTACCACTGCTACGTACTACTCTAGGTGTTGGAAGTATAAGAATAAGGAGACGGCTTTTGTTACACAAATGTCACATATTGTACGTTTGGTATTTCAAAAGAGATAGATGAATACTAAACTCAGTCGTTCATTATTTATACATACATCAACAGTATACCGTCACCAGAAGCGGTAAGGCGACCGACTAGCCTAACGCTTATCTTGGTTGGTGTTGGGTTTGCAGAACCAATGGGGAGGGATAGTAGCAGAAGATAATACTATGCAACGTCTCATGGGTTCACACTCATCACAATGCAAACCTCTCTCTCTCTCTCTCTCTCTCTCTCTCTCTCTCTCTCTCTCTGTGTCGATCGTATGAGAATCCAAATAACTGCAGATGAATATGATGCGGTCCCAGAGAGACCAAATGGTTGGCAGCTCATGTGCATGTTATGGAGGATGGAGCCTACTCCGGAACGTGGGCCAAATGCTACTGTCATGCATCCAATTGGGAGATGATTAATTAGGAGATCTTTCTTCCTTCTTACTCAGCTTAATCATTATTATTTAATTTAATTAAAATTATATTAATTAATTTCAAGCTCTTTTGCTAGTGTACGAGGGACCGAATAAACCTGCTATGTCACCAAACCCATGCACGTTAGAATATTCAAAACCCTAATCTTATTTAAGTTTTAAGTTTCAATTTAATTTTGATTACATTAAAAGAGATATATGTTCACTTGTATTTGCACATGGGTAGGGTTATGGCCAACATGAGGACTGCAGGATGGGTACATTACATAATTTGTCAATATTTTCTTTAAGGATATAACTGTTACTCACAACCTTTCATTTCGTACACCAAATGGAACCTAT